CATTATTACGTAGCGGTTGTGCTACTATAATTTACGTTGAATAATGCCTTTGACCAAATATTGAATATCACTGAGCGAACTACTACTGAAGAATATTCAAGTTAGTTCAGTGGAAAACAGAATTGTGAATACGACGATATGGGGAATTAATGTATTTTGTATTTTTTAAAAAGTTCGAATTTCTCTCAGAGTACATTGCATTATAAATATCAATTTTCTTTGTACGAGTACACTACGTGTTTTATGTATTCTGATGACAAAACCGAATCAATACAATTTGAATAATATAGAGGAGAATATATTTCACAAAAGGTTGGAATTTTCAATATCGATACGACTACACATTAATTATTAAAAATTGTTCATGCCTCAAAGTAGTATAAATTGAATGTTTCATGGGATTTGATCAATACATAATATAGATGGAGATCCGAAAAAAGAGTTGTAACCTGTTTTCGTCGAAATCATAGAAAATATCGTACTTGTTTCTTTGTAATTAAATAAGATACGATATGTATAGATACGATGAATGAGCTCGTGCTTTTTAAATAAAATATTACATATAATACATAATATGTATATTACATATTACATATAATTTTTTACAACACTTTCAAAATTCTTCTTAAAAATGAAACAATACAGATTAAAGGCAATAAATCAATAATCGTTATTAAGTTCGACAAGAGTCACCAGAATAAAAGAAAAAATAATTTTAAAAATATAATTAACTAATATTTTGTTTAACGAGAAATTTGAAGATACATATTTTCCCAGCAATTGCTTAAGTTTGCACGTCAAATGTTCAATTGTGGTTCGTTTAGTCTACCCGGTAATAAATGTTGGTCTACAATGCAAATTCAGCCTTGTTATTTTCGAATTAATCGACCTTCACTTCAAAGCAGTACAAAAAGCTCGTTGCTCGTTTAATAGCCACTTTGCCGTGTAATTTCTTGTTAAGCCTGTACGTAAAACAAGGTAATTGGAATCAATTAATCGATCATCGTGATCTTTCTCACTAACAATGGTCTCTCTGAGGGAGATAACACTGCTGGCAAGTTTAATGTAGGCAAGATTTACAATGCTGGAATTAATTCCTTCTTATTTTCTTAGAGAAAGTTTTCAACAAGTACTTCTTGCGCCTCGTTATACCATTCAGTATTGTTACTTCATTTCATGACAAGAAAGAAGACTCGGAGTTTCTCAACTGTTTCTCTACTTTTATTCTATCTAGGCGTGATGGACTTACGAAAATTGAGGAGCACGGCATGATAAGATCGCCATTGGCGATTATCGTGACATAGATATTTTAAATATTTATCATATATTCGTAAAATCAATCAAGTATTTCACAATAGGTTTCCGACTCGCTAAAAGCAACTGTTTCGTATTAGTTTATAAAAGTAACAATACGACATCTACTCTAATTTTTAACGAGTGTTATAAATGTATCTTTCCGATCAGAATAATCGTAAATATAAGAAATTAGTGACCCGTAATATTGACGGGTTGAGAGAAATATTATATAATTCATTGACATAGTCGAGAGAAATAGTATTTGCGAATATTTGTGTTTTTAAGTTGTAATAAATTGTTTTGGCGACTTTAACTCGAAAATCAATCCACAATTTAAACACATCGATTCGTTTCATAATCGGGTATCCAAGTATCGATCCGAAAAAGTCGAGAATCTTCGAGAAACACGATTCTTCAGAAAATTTATTCGGAATCGCCGGTCCCTAGTTTGAAGCGATCGGTGCTCGTTGCGCTCTAGAGCTACGTACCCGCGTCAGATCGGAACCGTCGGGCTACCTTTAATTACGCGAAACATCGGACTGCTGCGGTCGGTCGAAAACGCGTTAAAAAGCATGTCAGCATGATGTCAGTTCCGTGGCCGCCCCATTTAACGCTGCCGGTGTGCGCCGGGCTCGCGAAATTCGCGATGACGCGCCGTGGCCGTGAGCGGGATGACGTCCCGGCGTGTTTATCAAATTCGCGAAGAGGCCGTCGATGTTATACAATGTGTGCATCCATCGTCCGGACGCGTAAAGGGGCCCAGAAGTGTTCGTGACTCGGTCAACGGGAGTGATGTTGGCCCGGGCAGCGTGGATCGGGATCGCTCTCGATCCCGGTCACTCGAAACCAGCTCTTTACTTCGTCAAAGCCACGCCAAGGCCTGTCAAACATGCTCGCCACGGGGTCGGTGTACACGCGTTTCGGGCCGCGATAACAAGATTCTTGAAAAACGTTTGCCCAGCGATCTGCTACGGACAGCTCGCTGTGTCGGGGCCCTCGATACAGACGTGACTACTCTGCCAAAACGGACGTCGACTTTCACCGGACTAGATCGCGATTTTTCGATCGCGGGAGATGCAAACCGGACACGGGAATTGCTGGATAGAGTGGAAAATGTATTCTACGTATTCTAGTCTGGAAGTCCGAAAACCGAGTTCTTTCGCTTCTTTTTTGAGCCTCCGTCCACCAGCGGTTTCCCTGTGTGATTCGACATTTTTGGAATTTCAGAAGATCAAGTCGCTGAAAAATCGATCAAATTATCAAATCGCAGTTAATGAAGCTAAACTGTACGTCGAAGATTTCATAAAGGAAATAATTCGACAATTCGAGGGACAATTTGATTTTAAATTTGGCGCTTTTAATACAGCTATTGTTACAGCATGTTAAAAGATAAATTCTTGTTCCAGTTTTCTATATTGTGAAAATGATATTAACTTTCAAAACGCTCTTTTAATTTCTTATATTTTCTATTTATCGTGCTGCCGCTATCGTTTGAAATGAGTAGAACTGCTGGAACTATACAGGCATTTGATCGTAACAAAAACAGTTTCATTTATCTGTTCACCTAACTAAAAATTTATGAATTCCGTTAAAACAGAAATAAAGAAAACAGTGCGACAATAAAAGATTTAGTAGCTCCACAATAAAAGAGTGACATAGATAGTAAAATATAACGTTCCAGACTAGAATAGCTCTTTGAAGATGCATCGCATTTATATGTGTATGAGTTTATGGTGGCATAGTATATCTTTCAGATGATAAAAAGGATTTCTTAAAAAAGTCACTGGACCGATTACTTCGCGATGAGAATAATATTTGTACGGTTACAAATATTCCGTGGCAAATTGTAGCTTTAACAATCAGTTAGCCGTTGCACCAGTTCGAACTTTATTTACGGTCCTAGTTGTAACTACATTTAAGGGGGGACGAACAGAGAATGGATAAAGTTTTAAAGCGTTCTCTCTAATAAAAGTAGAAGTTAATAGATATGGCCTGAAAGTGAAAATTTTACGATACCGTTTACGATAAAAATATACCGTTGTTGAATGACTACCATTCCCTTCAGTAACGGAGCTATTCTATTGCAATCAATTGCACAATGCTTTCACGCGTTACGGTTGCATATTAATTAATCAAAAAAAGGTAAACAACTTTCACTCTAATATCGATAATTAGAAGATTAGAAGTATCGAATGAGTCAAAATGATTGACAAAATTGAACGATTCTGTCCGCGATTTAATGCTTCGTTGTTTCCGAAATCGTAAATTTAATTTTTTAAGAGATTAGTTAATAAATTGATTTATATTCGAACGTGTTGTTCGATTGAAACTACTAAAAATTCAAGTGAATACATTCTTGCGATTGTTATAAAACATTGTAAATCAAAGATTTACGTTACTCTGCATTTATAATGACAAATTGACCGTTTAGAAATTGGATTATATTACACTTTTGGAATTTAAATTCTCGCTGCACTGTCGCTGCAATTATACAACTGGATCAGCGATTCTCGATCTATGGTGCGCGTACCATGTATGTATAAATGTATAATATATAAAAATTCATTGTAGCAATTCAATTACTTTTTCAAAGATAAATTCTAAATTTCTTTTTGTATATTCTGCATTCCATTGTTATTTTATGCATGCGACAAAGTTTTTGCCTCCACTCACATCTGCATATTTATGTAAAAGAGGATTTTCTGCGATAATAGCTACGAAGAATTAAATTTGGAGTTTGGGGTTTGCGTTTTTAAAATTAACAAAAAATCAACCTAACATGAATATAATAATATATGTAGTTACAATGAAAAAATAAAGAACAATACTTGTAAGATTAATAAAAAGATTACTTTATTTTATTACACTGTCTCATTCATTAATGCAACTAATTAATGAATGGGACAAAATGCACTTGTTTAAAAATTAAAACTGAAGCAAGTAAATGTAGAAGTAACTTATTGACGCTATGCATTGTTATAGTAAAAGAACCGATCTTTCGAATGTTTCTATCTAGAATTAGACAGGTCGTTTAACTTTTTCGTCCTAAATTCAAGTGCCCCTTTCATGGCAGTACTTCCCTAAGTATGTACCTACAAAGTGGTTTTGCGGTATGCGACATAGCTACTAATTAGGTGGTGCTCAGAGAAAACGGTTGAGAGCCACTGAGCTAGATCTTAGCTGTTACAGAAGGTGATGGTATTCAGGTAAATACTTAAACAGAAGGACACTAATTAATAGCCAGTTTAATTCCGCAAAGATTCGAAAGGGAATGCATGCTGTTTCCCATGCGAACCGGCGGAAAGCAGCCCCCTCCACCTTTCCACGGGCTCCTCAATTCCCGGAAGAACAAACTCCTTTGAAACGTGCCCCCTTTTATGCATAAAAAGGTATTTCCTTATCGTTACCGGGGATCGTGAAACCGAGCGAAATTGTTACGCAAGACGATCGTATCGTCGCACGGCAACCCTAAAATAGTTCGACCTCTCTCTTCTTGGACAGCTGCTAATTTGCATACTTATTTTTGATTATAATATTTACGTGTGCCCTACAAACGTTACTCGATCTATCCCGACGCGGGACGCCGAAATTTCTGACCACACATTTCGCATCCTTGGTCCGTTTATTTTTTGTCTTTGTCATTCTTCTTTCGTAACGGAAAGGAGAAAGGACGGCAAAAATGAGGCTGTGTTAAGATAACTCACCAGCGAATACTGCGGTGCTGTTGTGCCGTGGATCGTAAGGGCACAGACCCAACCCATCCATATCGCTGTCTTTAACGTATGTGCCATCCTGAAACAGAAACCGAGAACATGTCAGATTAATTCTTGCTGCTTAACCCTAGAAAGATAACCATATGACAACGTACGTAAAAGATAACCATACGCTTCAGAGGCGCATGCTTTTCTAAGGCGTCAATACTAACAATGGATATTTATTTAAGTTAATCTAGTCATTTTAAAGGTTTGGCATTATTGTAAAAATAAAATGCATTTATATTATATTTTTTTATATTTTAAGTAATTTTAAACTTAAATCACTNTGAAACTACTAAAAATTCAAGTGAATACATTCTTGCGATTGTTATAAAACATTGTAAATCAAAGATTTACGTTACTCTGCATTTATAATGACAAATTGACCGTTTAGAAATTGGATTATATTACACTTTTGGAATTTAAATTCTCGCTGCACTGTCGCTGCAATTATACAACTGGATCAGCGATTCTCGATCTATGGTGCGCGTACCATGTATGTATAAATGTATAATATATAAAAATTCATTGTAGCAATTCAATTACTTTTTCAAAGATAAATTCTAAATTTCTTTTTGTATATTCTGCATTCCATTGTTATTTTATGCATGCGACAAAGTTTTTGCCTCCACTCACATCTGCATATTTATGTAAAAGAGGATTTTCTGCGATAATAGCTACGAAGAATTAAATTTGGAGTTTGGGGTTTGCGTTTTTAAAATTAACAAAAAATCAACCTAACATGAATATAATAATATATGTAGTTACAATGAAAAAATAAAGAACAATACTTGTAAGATTAATAAAAAGATTACTTTATTTTATTACACTGTCTCATTCATTAATGCAACTAATTAATGAATGGGACAAAATGCACTTGTTTAAAAATTAAAACTGAAGCAAGTAAATGTAGAAGTAACTTATTGACGCTATGCATTGTTATAGTAAAAGAACCGATCTTTCGAATGTTTCTATCTAGAATTAGACAGGTCGTTTAACTTTTTCGTCCTAAATTCAAGTGCCCCTTTCATGGCAGTACTTCCCTAAGTATGTACCTACAAAGTGGTTTTGCGGTATGCGACATAGCTACTAATTAGGTGGTGCTCAGAGAAAACGGTTGAGAGCCACTGAGCTAGATCTTAGCTGTTACAGAAGGTGATGGTATTCAGGTAAATACTTAAACAGAAGGACACTAATTAATAGCCAGTTTAATTCCGCAAAGATTCGAAAGGGAATGCATGCTGTTTCCCATGCGAACCGGCGGAAAGCAGCCCCCTCCACCTTTCCACGGGCTCCTCAATTCCCGGAAGAACAAACTCCTTTGAAACGTGCCCCCTTTTATGCATAAAAAGGTATTTCCTTATCGTTACCGGGGATCGTGAAACCGAGCGAAATTGTTACGCAAGACGATCGTATCGTCGCACGGCAACCCTAAAATAGTTCGACCTCTCTCTTCTTGGACAGCTGCTAATTTGCATACTTATTTTTGATTATAATATTTACGTGTGCCCTACAAACGTTACTCGATCTATCCCGACGCGGGACGCCGAAATTTCTGACCACACATTTCGCATCCTTGGTCCGTTTATTTTTTGTCTTTGTCATTCTTCTTTCGTAACGGAAAGGAGAAAGGACGGCAAAAATGAGGCTGTGTTAAGATAACTCACCAGCGAATACTGCGGTGCTGTTGTGCCGTGGATCGTAAGGGCACAGACCCAACCCATCCATATCGCTGTCTTTAACGTATGTGCCATCCTGAAACAGAAACCGAGAACATGTCAGATTAATTCTTGCTGCTTAACCCTAGAAAGATAACCATATGACAACGTACGTAAAAGATAACCATACGCTTCAGAGGCGCATGCTTTTCTAAGGCGTCAATACTAACAATGGATATTTATTTAAGTTAATCTAGTCATTTTAAAGGTTTGGCATTATTGTAAAAATAAAATGCATTTATATTATATTTTTTTATATTTTAAGTAATTTTAAACTTAAATCACTAGACCTCTATGAAAAATTAACAAAAATCAACAGTCTTCGCAGGCGCCTCTGCGACGTAGGTTATCTTTCTCGGGTTAAAGAATTCGCTGTTTATATTGCTTATTAACACTTTATTCATAGGAAGCCTTTAATAGGCTTTCCAATGACTGAAGAAATTATTATTACACACTTATAACTTCGATTTTAAAAGAATTAGTAAAAAACTGCCCGTTGATAAAGTATTAACACTAGAACTGTCGAGCCATCTAGTCATCTAATTAACGAAACCGAAACTATGTTGTTAAAAGTTACGATAGTAACCATTACTTCAACTTCGTTGTATTTTAAAAATCCTGATTACATTCTGTTTATTCAAATGTAGCACAATAAAAATGAATTTCAGAAACTAGTTACAAAATCAGACCGATGCGGCATTCAACGTTTTGAACGCGACTAATGTACATTGTTTCATAATAATGGCAAGATTGAATTTATTTCACCTTTGGATTGTGGTTACGTGGCCATTTTAATCGTCACCTAGTTACTGAATTTATAGAAATTAAATCAAACAAATTGATGTTGCAATAGGAACAACAGAAAGACTAACAGATCTGCAGGAAGAATCTTTAAAAATATGTTTGGAAAAATTGATGAATAAAGCTAACATCGTCGTAAACATCGTCAATTGCACAGTTGTTAAATTAGTTCATCGTCCGAGGGGTTAAACTTCGTACGGTTTCTATTACAATATAAGCTTGAATGAGAAGAATTGTTTGACTGATTTAGTAGTTCTTGTGTTAATATCATGCGGTTGTAATAACTTTACTCGAGCAATAGAGACGAACAATAATAATATTACTTTCAAGTAAAGTTCGTTCATAGAAAGCTGTGTCTAGAAAGATTTTTGAACGACTAATTTAACTTTCATTTAGCTTTGAATGTTCCCTGTCGTTTCACGACAGCACGAATTCAAACATGACGGAAGTTATTAAACTTGTTTCACCTGCATCATATTTTCGAGATTTGGTACCAACAGCTTTTCACTTCTAATTACCATTAAAATGTTTCGATAGGGAAAACTTGAAAAATGTCGACACCATGAGAAATTTCTAAAATTACATCTAAAGAATTTTGCAAGCTAGATTGCATACAGCTTCTATGTGAATGTAAAACCTTCGGAAATAAACTTTACGGCATATGCGGATTTTTATAATGCAAGTAGGCATATTAGAATAATCATGTACTAATAGTACTATTATTTTCTTTCTTGAATAATTTTTAATTAACAAAGGAATAATGTTTTAATGAACAAAATCTCAATTTCGTAAATTGACGTATGAATTTGAGAATTTTCATAAAGATTTGCAGTTCACATATTAATAATAAAACATGATGAATACATTCAATTAAATATATAAGTTGTTTTCAATGATGAAGTTCATGAAAACCTTATACAGATACTCCCTACGCAACAAATTAATGTATATATTGTAAAATAACTTTTACGTGATATTGTATTACATAATCATATTTGATAAGAATAAGTAACTATTTATACAATAGAGACAGATATATTCGACAAGAATTCAATAAGCTTCGGAAAATGCACCAAGTATTAATCGCTCGCAAGTGTACAGTGAACGGTTTTCCACGAATTTAACCCTAGCCCAAGGCAGAGGGCTTGTGTACCCTAGGGAAATTTCTTTGGGAGAATTTCCTCCCGGAAACTTCATTTCCTGCCTTTTTCTTCAGCAACAGTCCCCTCTGCTCCCCGCCATTGACTGAAATTCAATTTGACGGTATCATTTTCTGCGCTAATGTAATATTCCCGAATGACCTCGCAAAATCCGTAGTTATGCGCAGTTGGGGAAGAAATTCCTATAAAATGATCTTCAGCAGTTTCCCTTAAAGGACGCTTATCGATCAGAGGTGGAAAACAGTTTGATATCGGTTTCGATTCTTGAAACAGATATGGAAAACCGAAAATGTTTTATAATTATTATGATACTCCAGAAACGGCTATATAATAATAATAATAATAATAATAATAATAATTTTATTCACGTATGCAGATAGAATGACCTTTTGTCGCAAAAAAGAGATAAAAAGAGCAGATTTTGTAGAACCGTCGCACGAGTACAATACAAATAAAAATAGCTATACATATATAATGATACAATACAAAAAGTAGAAAGTAGATGTATGAAACGGTGTAGTATACACACATAATAATCATATAGTAGAGGTAATAATTAATGTGTATGGTATAGGGGGGAAATGTAATAAATGTAATAAGAATACAAAAGAAAGATTTATAACAAAATAGAAGTTTTAAAAATACGAAACATCGCGTATATAGTAAATATAAATATATTTCTATTTCATGTTCATTGTAAGGAATTTTCAGAAGAATGGAAGAAATTTTTCTGTTAATTCGGTCTCCATAAAAATAGGTGTGTAATGTAAATTTGCATAAACATTTGGGGTCTAATTATAACAACTATAAAGTTTCTTCGATTTTTCATAACAAGACTGCGGATTTTATGCATTTGATAAAATAATGAATAGATTCGGTACAAAACTGTTAAAACATTAGCAGAATTTAAGGATACTGTTAGATTATTTTCAACCTTGTACTATTATATTTCTGACAATTAATTTAGACAATTTTTATTTTACGTAAAGATCCGCTGTTTATTCATAACTGTTTCAATCAGAATCGATGCATACAAGTTTGAAACGACTATTTTCGGAATCCTTCGAATCCCTGCTATCGATACATGATGATTCATTAATGTTTTCCATTCAGCTTCCTTAATTGGATAATAAATAATTGAATCGCGCGATTATAACTAATCGACAGGATTACTTGTACCGCAGCGGGTCTCGAAGTTCGCGGTAAAATTGACTCAGTGGTTACGGTTGTTTCGCTCGCAAGCTTGCTCCGTAAAAAGAATTATCTGCCTGTACGTGATCGTACACAAAGATCTCGCCTAACTTTCCCCGGCGTTATGTATTTTATAAACTTTTCTTCTTCTCTTTACGAGATTACTTCTCCCTCGGATAAAAGCTGTTTCACCGTGATCGCCGCATTTTTCCCACGATTGTCCTGGGAAAATTCGCGAACGTCGCGTCGCCATATTAACGTCCGGAATTTTGGTGGGTTGATATGCCGCCGGAGATCCTCGTCCTAGAATATCCTATTAAATGTCGGATGCGTGCTCGTGATTAGATTATGCAAATAACATGAAACTGCGTGATAAATACGGATATTCGGTACGAGATACATTAACGACGGATAGACGCGTTGTTCTAATAACAGCCCGCTGATATTGTTTGAAATAACACAACTGTTAGTTAGTTTCTTTAACACAACAGTGTCTGCAAAAGACGCATAAACTCGTTTCAACGCTTTGTGCTATAATTCTTTTTTACCGCTGCTACATTTGTTAACACTATTTCGTTCTTACCACGTTGGATTAATGTTAACTCTCAAAATTCTCAGAACATCAAAGTCGTTTAATTAATGAGACCGAAATTAGAGAGTTGAAATTTAACGCAGGATATATTTGTTTAACTATTTTGTATTCTAAAAAAACCTAGTAACATTCAGTTTGTTCAATCATTTCTCTAATAAAACCGGACAATGTTCGTTTCTTGTATGCCGTCATTTACTTTCATTACTAGGTTTTGGTAATGGAAGAATCAAATTTTGTTTCGATTTAGAAGAAATAGATTCATATTTAATAGACTATGTCGATTATTATTAATCTACGATTATCTCGTAGATATCTAAAAAGTTTGGCTTTCTTTGTGGACTGTAATAAAAACTGGTTTTCATTCTCGATTATGAAAATCCTTGATTAAGAAAATTGTGTTCATCAGTATACGACTGACATAGCAGTTACAGCTCATTATACTTGTCGAAGTATAATAACTAAGCTACGGGTCTTTACGCAAAAATTCTCATGTTCGTACAATATTTTACAAAAATTGCAATTAAAAAATACATAGTTTCCTTCGTTAACCAGACGATTACTTATTTTAAGAAGAATATAAATGCTATTATTTTTAATTTATACGTTTCTTTGCATAAATGCATAAGAATACGCAATCTAATAAGGGCAAATCGATTACCCTATCGGTCTTTCTATTTGACACTACATGGTTTCTGAATTAAAACGAAAAAACACTTCTAATTAAAAAGTTTAAGAGGTGTCTGAAAAAAGGGGTAAAATTTTCATTTAAAGCGTTAAGTATAAGTATAGCACTCGTACAATAAATGATCATTTGATCTTTCTTTTGTTGCACACATTGGATACCGAACTCATTTTTTAGTTTGTGAAAAATGATTTACATCTTCGATACCTAGCATTATGAATAAAAGATTCGTCACTGGAATCAAATTAACCCATAGTACAGTAGGAGAATTTTGCATGGTTACACTTACATTTTTGTACGACATGTGCGCGTAATGTGTGCTTAGTGTGAGTTTAGTTGGTGTGTTTTGGAACGAGTATTATCCCCTCGTAGGCTTATCATCTCCTGGCATCGTTCTTGCATGTTGATGCATCGCTGCATTAGCTCATAAAGAACATCGTCCCTGTGTTACACACTCTAAACGTTAAATACAGTCTAAATATACGTTAAACGCACATTAAACATACGCATAATGCGAGAAACCTATTTTTATTTCATAATGTGGTTTAATCGCATAAGGATCGTTGAGAGAAAGAGCCTTTGCAAAATCATTTTAAAACGAATCGCAAATA